TGGCAGCGGCAGAAGAGGACTCATTTCAATTTCAATGATGCAAAATGGCAAAAAAACCCATTGACCTACTCTATGGAACTACAGCTCCGACTACAGCCTATTTCCACCTGCCTCGGCATAAACTTGCCGCCCGAGAAAAGTGAAAAACTGCAAAGACAAACGTGAAACAACCGAGGAGAACAACAACAGTGAAAAATGCAATGGAACGAAACTGGTTCGATGGCTTTAGGTGTATGGTACTTGAGCATGACATACGTGGTTGGTTCGTGCTCAAAAAGCTGAGACAGAATAGAAAGTCACTTCGAATACACCTGAGCACTCGCCCACAGAGACATAGTTTTAGCCATTGTCAAGTTTCTGGCCAAGCAGCACAAAAAAATGTCTATGTGTAAAACAAAATCTGACTTTTTATTTTGTTGGCTTCAGGCAGCAGGAAGAGTGCAAAGAATCGGAACAAAAAAATCTTCCACTTCAGGCCAAGAAGATGACGTTGATGGCCTTTCATTGCTGTTGGCTGCTTTGGACCCGATTCTCAATGTTTTTCTTATTTCTTTGGTTGTGTGTTCGTGTATATGCATTGTTCCTCTGCTCTCTGTATATATTCTATATGTGTATGTTCCACAGGAACTGGTTGGCTTTTCTTGAATATTTTTTGATAGCACCCAACTGGCTTAAAAGCGAAATTTCGGTATGCATCTATACCAGTGAACTACATATTATATAATAAATGTATTTTCAAAGCATTATAGTGAGTGTTTATGCAAACGAATTTTAAAAATTCTGTGGAAGTAGGTTGAATTTATTTCAAGAATATCTTTGTTGGCCCTTTGACATCTTTTCCTACTTTAATCGCCTTAAAATAAGGTAATTGAGTGTAGTTTAAATCTTGTATATGGTATTTTTTTTATGTCCGTCAAGTCTTGATTCAAGCCATATTTTTTTAATCAATAATTTTTTAATAATAAAACCTTATTTTTATTTTATATTGAATATTTTATAATGATTTTTTTTAGTGAAAATGACTATTTTTATTGCATAAACTTACACAACCACCAATCTCACTTGCTGATAGTTATCCCATACATGAATGTGGCTCCCATTTAATTATCATCACTTGACCCTACCATAATTTTGCCAACTCCTTGTTGTTGCCAGCCATCAGCATTATCCAATTTCAATCACTTTGTTGGCCACTTTATTTCGCTTCATTGTTTACGCTTTCATTGCTGCGGGCCACGCAGATGCGGGGAGTGCTCGAGTTTCCGTTTATAATACAATTTTCATATAATTTAAATTCATTTTTGGCATCGCCCGAGCCATAAAACTTTGTCTGTAGCCGCTTGAGTGCAGTTGCACTTCCTTTCCCATCGCAATCTGCTGTCGTTTTCCTCACCCCCCCCGCCATTTCCAACTCCCCTCGTTGGCCATAGCATATAAACATGCGCTTATTTTGTATCTAGATGGGAGTTGGGAGTTGGGGGTTGGGAGATGAAAGAGCTACGTCCTCGTCGTCTTTGCTTCGGTCGGTGGCTCGCCGCCGGCTCAACATAATCAACATTGCGTATACGCAACGTTGCTGCGGTTACTATGCTGCCCGAGTACGAGTTTCCTTGGAGTTTCGCCATCCCCTCTGCGCCACCGTATTGATATTGCAGATAATGCCATAAAATTGTGCAAATATTTTTGGGGGCATTATTCTGCAAGGTCTTTACTCTGGCTCAACTTGACTTCGTTTTTTGGGTTGTTGTTTCTCGTTCATACTTTTTTTAATATTTCATTTTTTTTTGGTTTTTGTTGTTTGGCTGTATCAACGCTCAGACTTTGCGTCCTGATGGTTTATTTTCAATTTGCTGTTGCTCCAGTCACAACCCCTCTTCCCTGGGACTTGTTTTATGAGCACTCGTTGTGCTGCCTTTGTTTTGCTTTTGACTTTCGCGCTTAGATTATAAATGTTTGGCAAATGTTTTCACAATAGTTGGCTGTTGGTCCTACTGTTATCCCTCGACCCTTGAGAGTTCTCCCCTTCTTTTCCTTTCCTTTAGTCCTCTGTAATGAGTTTTGCTGCTGTCTTGGGTGTTTCTCAAGCGGGTTGGCCTTTAGTCCGGTCCTGCAAAATAGTTGTTTTTTTGTTGGAAACTTATTAGCAAATATTGAACAAATATTTTCACAAAGTACATTTTCTTTAATGAAAATAATGGTTATGAGTTCTTGCCAGTCAGCCGTTTATTGCTTAATGAGAGATTTGTATGCGTATGCGTAATGAGCTGATAATAATTTATGCGAAATATTAAATCGATATTAATTGATTTTTAATCAGCCACGTGTCGATGAATTGCAACGTGATTGGTTTAAAAAATATTTGACATGTTAGAGCAAAGCGACAAATGTACATTTTAAGGCCGTAAATAAATGTTAAAAAGCTTACAAATACACATATTTTGTAGTTCAAACAAATACGAATTGGGAAATTCTTAAATATTAGACAGACAACAACGTTTTAAGCTTATCTATGTATTAAGTTCAAAAATTAATCTGCTGCCAAATAAAATGTCAATATAAAATTTTGGGATCGGTAAAACCCCAAGTAACAGTCACACAATAAAACAAAAGCTTATCTTTTAGAGTTCAAAGCAGACCTTTTGGCAATTTAATCTTAAGGCAATAAAAAAACCAACAATATATCAACAGTTTTTGCATAATTTTAAATGACTTGAACGCAAAGAAGTTATATGTTCCCATTCATAAAATTTAAAACTTATACATATTATCGTTTGTTTTCTAGGGTTCGCAATTGGGCCTTGAAGTTCGGCGTTGACTTGTGGGAGTTCGGACGTCAATTTACCAAAATGAACGAGATCAAAAATGTAAGTAATTACGCCAGCTATATTGGCTAGACGACTAACAAGTATATATGCTCTCCGATGGGGGCGATAATATAGACATGTGTATCTGATAATCCTGACATGTGGGTACGGCGAATCGCATTGGTTAATGGCTTCGATTGTCTGGCACGGTTTAGTCGAAACAAATACACATAAGCTGTTTGGGCACTTAGTTGAATTTATCGATAAGAAAGAATTTATCGAAAACGGCTTTGAATGGCGCAGCTTAGTGAAAGCTTAACTAGCGAATGCGTCAATTTTTCGTGTTTTTTTCTCTGTGACGTTCTTATTTGGTTCCTCTGCTGTTTGTTGTTTGCCCCTAATGCAATTTAAACACAAATAAGGCTAATTGGGGGGCAAACGTGGGTTAAGCGAGCTGATATAAGTATGTGCCAGGGTGCTATCTATGTTAATAAGCATGGCTGTGTTGGGATTTGGCTGACTGCGTGGCCTGCGGTGAAAGATGGTGGGCTCTAAGGCGGCCCCAGTGGGATTCGTTCCCTTCTTTTAGCCAGTCGCGTATTTTCGCGTTTAATCAGACGTGCATGAGTTAGTGGGTTGCTTTTATTGGGCGACTGTGTACGTTGTGATTATGTGCGAGAGAATTACGTTTATTCGTTTTATACACAACGGACTGGTTTTTTAAATACACTGTAAAGTATAACGGTTATGGTTAATATTATTTTATCAGAAACTCAAAAGCTTATAAATTTCAATATGTTTTTGGTTTTAAGACTGTAACAAAATGTCTCACATTAATGTTTAAATTTATAAACTCAAAAAATTACAATTATAATCAATTTAATCAAGATAAAATCTAGTTTTTGTACATACATATGGCTTTGTTGTAATTTAACCAATGATTAATAATTTTCAAAATGTTTTTGTTTAAAAAATTTCATAAAATGCGATAGTTTTAGAAACAAGAAATTAATATCTAAAAATCATTTACCGGTTTCGTTTGAAACTATTTAATAAAGACCATAAAGTAAATGTTAACTTATATAATAATAATAAAAATAAACCATTTTATTGTCCAGATAAATAATATGAAAACAAAAGCTTTGATAATCTTTTGAAATGAAAAAAAACTATTGGTTGATCTTGCTATGGGCTTGACAACCCCAGATAGGGTATAAATATCAGGCAAATTATGCAGGGAAACAGAAAAGGAGCAAGGGATACTGAAGGGACGAGGGGACATGCGAGAAGAGCGAGCTGAGCGGAGGAAGCGACAGGATTCGGAGCCAGAAAGGCAGCTAAAATGCAAATAAATTTGCTGGCTGTGACTGTCATTGAGTCTGTAATTGTCAAGTGCCTTGTTGCTGTTGCTTTGCTCCTGCCCGTGTGTATATGTGTGTGTGTGTCATTGTTGTTGTCGTGGGTGTGTGTGTGTGTGGGTGGGTGTTGCTGTCGCTGACAACGTTTGGTTGTGTTAATTTAAAGCGCACGTCTCTTACAACGGCAAAAAATGAAAACCTACGCCCAGATTAAATTAAATATCAAGTATACGACGCGTTGTGCGTTTGGCGGAAATGCTCTGTGCCTGTGTTAGTGTGTGTATACATACATATGTATACGTATGTGCTTTACAAACATTATATCATACCATTTTGTGCGTGTGAAAGTTGATCTGTCCTTCCGCCGGCTCTGTTTGTTTTTTATGTTGTTAGTGGTTATGTGAGTGCTGCCCTTGTTAACGCCTTTTCTCTTTGGCATCAACCTTCGATGGTTTGGCCAATAAATTGTGTGTATTATAAAATTATTGACATGCTACCATGAAAAAGGCCGTTGGCAGTTCTTTGATACGTATGAACGGTATGATTAAAAAACAAGGCAATAAAAAGGTGGCAGTTTGTTGGTCAGCTTATAAATACTTTGGTTTATTTACTAAAAAAATACTTGAATTGGAGCTTAAATTCAGTTTATTTATTGCAACATTTGAGGATTATAACTTATTTCAAATGCCAGTGTATTAATTCTTGAAGGTGCATGAATTTAATGATGTGACGAACAAAATTCAATTAAAAAGAATGATATATAAGTTTTATATACATTAAAGTTCCGTTAAGTTTATTTTTCTTTTTTTTTTTTTAGTTCCACCCAATTTTATCACATTTAAAATCAACTACATATATACAATTTTATAGTTATGATTTTGAAGTATTTTAATGTATTAAATGGAAAATTGTTAAGTTAATTATTTTCGGGTAAATCGAATTTGACGTCGATCTGCTGGTCAATCCACTTCTTAAATTCAGCCACATCGGTGTAGGTGCCGGGAACATCTTTTTGTTTACATCCCACGCCCCAGTTGACAATGCCAATCTGCTCGAATCGATTGGGATCCTCGGCCATTGGACAGAAAAGTGCGCCACCGCCATCGCCAGTACAGGCATCCTTGCCTTCCTCGCCGCCGGCACAAATTAGACCCTTTGGCAGTTCGAAATCTGTGCCCATTCTGGTTTTTCTCAGCTGATTCTGGCAAATCTCCCTGGGCACGATCGGCAACTCTATTTTCCTTAGCACGGTGGCGTAATGCTTATCTCTGAAACCGTTTTTACCCCAGCCAGCCACCATACAACGAGTGGAATTTAGTGACCTTTTCTCAGCGGGCAGACAAATCGTATTTATTCGATACGTTAGTGAGAATTCTTGCTCCAGGAACAAGAGCGCCAAGTTGTTAACTCCATTTTTATAATCAAATGACTCATGAATCACAATTTTGACCACTTTCATCTCTTCAAAGGGATACTTTTCGAAAGGGTTTCCATATTCCCATTCTCCTGCGCTGACTATCATATCCTCCGCTGTTTTATTAACCAGTCGATGGGCTGAAGTTAAGACTACATCTGGAGCAATGAGCGAGCCAGCGCCAATGAAGCTGTCTTTATAAATCAGGGCTATTGTCCAAGGAAATTCACCAGGCTTAGCTTGATTTCCAGTAACATTTAGATTCAAATGAATAGCTTTTGGATTAGCTTGACCACATTTCGGATCTTCTGTTAAAGGTTCAGTTTCCTATAATTAATAAGTAAAAATCAATTAAAAATTTAAATTTACAAATTTTTTAACCCAGTTTGTTTTATGCTTTTTAATATACACTTGGCATGTGGCATGTGATACACATTTTAATTTATTTATTTATTAAACACTTACCTCTTCATTTTCCTGATCGCCTACAACATTTTCAGCAGCGCAGAAAATAATAAATCCGGAAAGTAAAATGAACAATGTCCAGACCTGGTACATGATTCTTTTCCGAATTTAAATTTAAATTGAACAAATATTCAAGCCACACTTTAATATTTATAAGTTAACGTTATCAGTTTAACAACAGATTTATTTTTATATTGAGATAAGGTATAATTAAATTTTTTTAAGCATACATATGTGCGTTCTGGGTGTTTTTCTAATCTATATGTATTCTAATACTTAAATCTTTATAAAATGTATTCGACAGCATAAATTTCTATTCTTTTGCGACGTCGTTTTGTTGTTGTTATATTGCTGACACAATTTTTTTGTTTCTGTTGTCCTTCAAAAAATGTTTTGCAATATAATAAAGGGGGAAAAAGAAGAAAATTAAAAAGGAAAGCGGACCATGTTGTGGGTGTGGTCCGCCCCCAGCTTCGCCGGCCTCACATTTATTCGGTTTTCTCCTGCTGTTTTGCTGGTTCTGCTTTTTTTTTTTTGCTATTTGGGTAGCTGCCTTTTCCGTTTTGCGTTTTAAAGTAGCATAATAAAAAGTAAAACAAATGCAGCGCACACGTTCAGTTATGCGAAAGGCGTCGCAGGACAACAGGAACGCAGAGGACAACAACAACAACCCGAAGACAAAATGGCTGCCACGAATGAGGAGCAGAAAGAGAGAAGGATAAGGATGGGGGGTTTGTGAGAGTGTGTGTGTGTGTTTTTGTGTGTGTGAAATGCCTGTGCGTGGCGCATATTCATTTATTTTATTTTCCGTATGCTTCTGGCTTGAAAGCGTTTAGCGCTGACTAGCTAAAAAAGTATCTACCTAAGCCAAGAAATATGTTCTTTAGACAGATACAACCAAAAGTAGGGTACATAAACGCTTGAGGCAGGTCGAAGATTGAACACCCTTTAAACAACATTAAGTTGTAAGCATTATGAGTTAGAAAAAAATAAAAAACATAAAACATAAGAAAAAAATTAAACGTAACAAAATAAAATTAAAAAATAATTATTTTGGGATCGTTCGGTAAATAGGTATTCATCGTCGAGTGGTATTAAAATTGCAAATTCAAACTGTAACTATGGTTTATTAAATAATATTACAACAAATGCAGGGTTTCAGACAAAATTTTATTTTGTATATTTGCAAAAACAAAACAAATAGAGCCAGTCTTATCTATTTGTTTTAGTCTAAAAATAAAACTATGTAACTAGTTACTAGAAGATTTGGAATCTGTCCACTGAAATATATTAGAAAAACATGCTTTCATAAATACTAAAAAATTAATGTCTATTTTTGTAACACAGTGTTATTTATTTTAAATATACGATTTTTCAAAGAATTTATACTATATACAAAATCAACAATAATCATATAAGCTCAGAGTATATTCATTATTAATCAGCAAGAACAAATTAAACAGAATGGAAGTCCCCGTTTGTTTATTTATATGCGGTTAAAAGGTTATCGACAGCATTGTTAAGCGACTAAAGCATTTTTTTCTACAGCTGTCTATTAAACAAATGCAAAATTGTATAAAAGTGAAAGACTATTCCATTTGCTGAAAAATGAAAAAACTTGAACAACTAATTGTGTTTTGTATAAATAAAAAAAATATTAAAATAAAAATATTATCTAAAAACAAGCAAATGGCGTAAACTTTCTATTACCGAAAGGCAAAGGAAATGGCCAAAACGACAGCTCGGCGTATGTGGCGCCATTATGTCAAATGATGATGTGCAGCTAACGAGGCTGATGATCATTGTCTAACATCTGGGCTCTCCCTTGCAGTGAAATATGGGTCAAATTCAAGTGAAAATTGCCTTCTGGCTCTCTTTTCGTTTGCAGGCAAATAAATTTAAGCGTGCTCTCATTTTGCACGTAATACAAAACTTTTTAACAGCGAAAAAATATAAGAAAACAAAACTGGCGCGTGCTGTCGTTTTTCTTCAGCGTCCAGCCTTCGCTTTCCCTTACCATTTTCTCATTTTCCCATTTTCCTTCTGCTATTTCATTTCCCTACTTGGCTTCCACTGTAAGTGGCATGTAAATTATTGTTTTCTGCCTTTGGCAGCTTATACTGTACTTCTACTTGGCATTCTCGACACTGCTGATTGAAGGTATAATCGAGTTAATGCTCAGAAGGAAATAGTAAAAGAGTTAATACTTTTTCTTAATGCTGGGGAAAGTATTTAAAATTTTACATGCATAAAAAAGTCACATTCAATTTTAAGTTTTTGGGCTTACAAACATTAAAGAACCCAATAAAAAAACTTGTATGTTCATTTGTTTTTATAAAGTAAACCGGTTAATGATGAAATGTTTGCATTGAAAATGTTGTTTAAAAAATTTCAAGTAAATAAGGCACATTTCATTTATCAAATAAACGAATGCCAATGATTTTTACGGTTTTAAATGCCGGGTGTTCTAATTTAATTTATTTTTTGGATGCTGCAAAGTTATTTAAAATATAAACTATTTTTTTTTTTTTGTTTGCAATCATTTGGCATATGCCTTGCGTTCGGTGTCTAGGCAATTATAATTTTTCGTGTGCAGTGGCTGCCTCCCAAAATGCAGATTGCTGGTCATTTGTTTTGGGCAAGTGGTTGCCCACTCCAGCGATTCAAAACAGGACATCACCATGCAACTTCCATGCGCCGATTCTGCTCCATTTCCCGGGCTGGGTGACAAATACAAAGGCCTTGTTAAGGGCCTTGTGGCTAAAACGTGGGGGCGTGGGCCAGAGAGATCGAGTTGGTTTTGTGTGTTTGGCTAACTAAGTGTGTGGCGAACAGTGTTGCGGGCTGCGAAGAGACTAATCGTAAATCAAGGCGACGACTCGGCGACGCACTTGAAGGGGCGGCATTGCGGGGAATCCCCCGAAATGGCTGAGAGCAGCTCAACTCCTTTATGGGGCTACTCCACTGGCTTTTGTGCGGTCCAAAATGCATTCGGTCCGCATCCCACACAGTCCATGATCATCTCCATACACATATATACATATATATAATATATATATTCGCAAATGTACATCTGTGTATAGCCAGGACTTGTCTATGCAAATATTTAAGTCTGTCGTTGTCGTTTGGTGGCGAAAATGCGAGCATGACATACAGCTGCCGGCAAACAAATGTTAAGTGGGGCGGAGACTTCTCGGGGCTGGTCCTTAATGAAAGTATAAAGCAAATTAAATATTTAATTTCATCAAATCCTCGGAGGCTTGTCTATTAAATGGACGAAGCAAATGCCAGGTAGGATGACTCAACTCCCGGAAGGTTATTTGCTTAATTAAGTACAGAGTAATGAAAAGCTGCTCCGCAAACACCCTTCAAGATTGGTCACTTTCGCAGTGCTTTGTTATTTTTCACCTTGTGATCAGTGCAGTAAATGTGGTAATATTATAAAGATTTTTTCACCAGAATTTGTAACCTCTTCAAACAATTTTCGTACTCGAGAGGCAGGTTTTTCACAAGGCAATTATAGCTGCTGGCACAACTTAACTTTTTTACCTTGTAATTAAAACAAGAAAAACATGCTAATATAAACCTAAATGCAGTTCTCTCGTAAAAAATAATAGAGCTAATCCATTAGGTGGAACAAAATCAACAAGCTTTGAAAGAAAGCAAAAACGGCAAAATTTAATATTGCAAAATGGGAGGGAAAATATAAAAAAAAAATGCTGTGCTAAGAAATTAGCAAAAAGAAATCACTGCTTCAGTGAACAGGGAAACATGCGCGTTGATGCGAGACATTGTTGCTCGCTTTCTCGCTGGAAAGGAGCTCAAGATTGGGGGTTTGGGGGTTGAGAACTAAAGTGTAGAAGGGTGACAGCGACATCTTCATTAAAATCTAATTAGCGCATTTCCAGACCAAGCCACAAAATGCCAAACCATACCAAAGAGTTGAGCCCACCGCGGCACTTGAGCTCATAATAACTCAGATGGGAAGAAGCCAGGACGAAAAGTCAATATAGCTAATGTTAAAATTGCACTGAGAGATATACAATTTAACTATCAAAAAATAGTTAGTTCGACAACTTAACAATTAACAAATTATTAAGAATTTGTTGTACTATAAAAAAGTCTTATTTCTTCGCAGAATCAAATTTTACGTTATTTTGAACATCCAGAAAAAGTATAAACATTTTCAAAGAAATATGTTTTTTTTGTTTTTAACAACCAAAAAAAATAAATAAATTTAATTTAATACTTGTCAAGAAATAATCTTTAAAGCGACTTTTCTAAAAATGAACCTCATGCTGAAATTTATAGAAACTATTTTTTTTTTCAAGTAAAATTTTATAAAAAAAATTAAAAATTAGACACAAATAAAATAGTCAGCGAAATAAATAAAAATCACCGATCAGAAAGTTAATTTGATGCAGCTTAAAATGTCAAAACTTGAGCAACCTTGAAGAGGGTCAATTGAAGGGGATCATATCAAGCGATGGGTTTTGTTTCAGTGCAAAAAGAATTTATAAATTTGCAATGGTTTTCCGTTCGAGAGCAGGGTTCAGGTAGCCGATTCTGCTGTTGCATCTGCTGTTGCATCTGCTGCTGCATGCGTAAGCTGCTTAACTTGAGCTGGAATTCGACAGGAGCAGAAGCCAAAGCTCAGGAATGCTCCTTATTCGCAGCTCCGCCCCTCTGGATGTCCTTGCTCCAGTTAAAGTTCGGCACCAGCTGCATACGCACCCGTCTGTGGGTGGGTCGTGGTCCGCCGGAGGGCTCCTCCTTGCGCAACATTTTCGAATTCCAGAGTCAACCGCAAAATGAAAAACTTTCTATGGCTGCTACTGCTGCAGCTACTGCTACTGCTGCTGCTGCTGCTGCTGCTGCTACTGCTGCTGCTACTGCTACTGCTGCTGCTGCTGCTACTGCTGGTACTGTTCTCGCTCTTCGAGTGCTACTACCCATATTGTATACATATTGTATATAGTTTTTTGCACCACCCAACCTTTTCCCCCCTTTCAGCCACCCACACACGTCCTTCGGGCGTGCATTGCATTTCGATGTTGCTCGCGTGGAAATTGCTTTATAAAATGTTGCCATCGCATGAAAGTTGGGTGAGGTTTTTGTGGGCGTGGTCCCTGCATCCGTGGCTAATATCTTGCAAGCCCCCGCAGATATACATATTGAATATAGGAATATTTTTTGCTTTTTTCATTGATTCTTTTTCTTACGCTTTGGCTGCTTGCTTGACATTCTTTTAATTTTCAATTTAATTTCCTTGCCCCCTCGATTTTACTTTTCCCTACTCCTTTTTTTAACCATTGCCTTTGATTTGGCAATAATTTGCTAATGGTTTTTCAACAGCTATAAATCATTTTTAGGGGAAAACTTTGGCGGACCAAGTACTTGCGTGAAAAGAAAATACTGGAAATTGGCTCAATCTAACTGTTGTTTTAATAAAAATTAAGAAAAACAATGCTATGCCATGATCTGTACTACCCAATGACGAAAAGGGCTGGATTTGTGTGAGTCAAGTGCAGCAGTCATATCTTGGGCGCTAAAAGCTTTTTATAGAATTTACATTGCTCAGAACATTACAAGTAAGACAAAGACAATGAGCAACTTCTAGCTATAGCAATACTTTCTTTTTTTTTTCTTACTTGTGTGGGTGACATTTTCTTTAGCCAACTAATGAATGCCTCAAAGAGCCTTCTCCTTGCAGTTTTAGTTCTGTGGTCACACACAAGCACACAAATGGTACATGGTTGGATTTTGGCCCAGGCCACAAATATTTGCAACGTGTGTGTGTGTGCGGGGGTTGTCCTCACAGCCACACATGCATATACAAGTACATGCTGAGAAAAAAAGTAACATAATTTAATATTTTCACTTTAAAATATTATTTTAATATATAAAATTAAAATAAAACTTTAAAACAGATTTAGTTATGTTTTGAAATAAGTTTTTTAGTTTTTAAGAAAGCGATTTTAAACCAATCAATATAGTAATTTTTTAATGAACTGAAATTTGTTTACAGATAATATGTTTAAATTGTATTTGAATGATAGGCAGGCAAGCATTTATATATTTGATTGGGAAGACGCATTTTTCTCTGGGTATATGAATTCATGGCAAAGCATTTTCTTCTATACTCAAGCAGTTTCTCGACTGCTGCTGCCGGCACTGAATCAGTTAAGAAAAGTTTTCTAATTAATTCGCTGGGGACATATACAGCGACACTCACACACACCCACAAGCCTGCTACTTTCTCCTCCCCTTTCTCTCCGCGTTGCAGCAAAAATATAATTTAACTGACAGTTTGTTTGAAAAGTGACAATTTGAATGGGCGTGTCCACACCTCCTATATAACTTCATTTCTAAATTGCTAATTTGTGGCACTTAAATGCATGAAAAAGACATAAAATGCATTTGCTAGCAGAGCCCGCTGCTTTTACTTCCGTCTGCTACTCCATCGATTATGATTATGGGAATTCATCAGGGAAAAAAAAACAGTGAAGAAAACTCATCAGAATTTTCCATTAAAACAAATGGCAGCACGTTCAATAAAAAAATCATTATAATGGCAAAGGACATCTTGGTGTGCGTGTGTGTTGGTTCGAGAGAGTGGTTGAGAAAATCAGGACAAAATGCTGAGCCCATTAACTTGGCCACTAAATGCGTGTCTCTGCTTTAATCTTAAACAAGAATGTGTGCGTGTCCCACTTCAGTTAGCAGAAGCTCCTCTGGGGTTAAGTGCAATGGAATGTGAAATTTAATTATATTACTCACAGTCGTGAGAGCTTATCCAAATACATAATATTTGTAATTCTTTAAGCCTAGATTTCTATACCTACAGCTAGTTTCATCCCCAAGCGAATATATTTGCTGTTTAATAAATGACCCATATTTTTGGGGACTTGGAAATCACAGCTGTAATGCTGTTATGTTTTAATATGTAGTAGCTAGACTTAAAATTTTAATAAAACTCTACATTTTTTTTTTATATTTTTGATTTCTTAAGGTTTTTAAAACCGATTGAATTTCAATATAAGCATAAAGTTAGTTGCTTTATTTAATCAACGTTTATTTAATGACTAGCTGCATTTACCACGCTTATGCTAGCAAATTTTTAGGAAAATCGCACAGAAACCGGGCGCTTAGCTATTGAAAACCTCATTGAATTAATAAGATTCATTAAAATCAATTAAATATCAATTTAAGAGTCGCCTGCGGCCATAGAAACGCCTCTCCCATTTCAAGCCGAGAGCCATTTCGAAAGTACATCGGCGTTTTATGTTGGACAATAAGAAAGCGCAAAAGTTTTACAGCTCTTTAACCCTTTTTTTGTAGTCTCGAACCGTCGCCCATCAGTTTTATTGTTGACGACAGTAGAATGTACTGAGAATTGTGTATCTGATGATTTTGTTTTTCATTTGCAGCGCTTCAAGGACAACGACATCGAAGTGAAGCGCAAGGATGGCATTATCCTGCTGCGTGAATTGGCCGGCGAGGTGAAGAACTTTATGGATTTCAAGCGCAATGCTGTTATGGTAAGTAAATATCTCTGACTCTTTCTTTTCGACGCGGGCCTTTACACCACCTCCTGCCCTTTTACACTGACAAAAATGGAAGAAAATTCAAAAAGTTTGTTTTTTATTCTTAAAATAATAATGAATTGAATTTATTGTATCCATTTTTAAAATTAATTGAAAGCAAAAAAACTTTTTTTTAATTTTAATAAAAATATTTTTAAAAAACTTTATTGAAGGTATCCGGTGCCCTTAGAGTAACTCTTATTAAACTTTTTGAATTATGGTAACCTAAATAAAATTATATAGTTAAAACAAGAATTGTAAGCCTTATCCAAAGTATGACATACTATAACTCATACGCCATGTTGGCGATAAGAAATGTGCTTTTGGTTGGTTTTTTCGAATGTACCATACCCTGCTCTTCCCATGCGCCTACAATTGACAAGTGGCTCAATCTCTAAAAGCTCAAGGGAAAAGTGGCGGGGGGAGTACTCACAAATGTTGAGGACGGCACTAAAAAACACAACAAAACAATAACACGCGGACGGGACACCGTCTCCAGTGGGACACTGGCGTAAAGTGGAAAACAATAAATTGCCGTGGGGCCAGTCTCATTGCGGTGGTGTTGCTGGTGGGTGGAGGGAGGTTGGTCGACCTGTGGGTGGTGATGTGGCGGTGGTCGGCGCCAAATTGAAATTAAAGTGCGCCCCGCCACAAGCTCAAGTTTTTGATGGCGCCCGCAGCTGCTGCGTGTGCGTGCCCAGCGATGTCACGAGCCGTAGTTCCGCTCCTGGCAAACGACGAGTTGCCTGCCACGCCCCCCGCCCCCCGCCTCCGTTCTGCGGTCTGTCTGTGTCCTGCGTATCAATGAAGTCCTTCTGCTATCTGGGTTATTTGCCGCGGGCCACGATGGGTTAATGATGAACAGTGGATTATCGATAAACGGAAACAGGGGCTCCTATGTCACTGTGAAAAGAGAATGGCTTTGCTTGGTTATGTGTTTTGTTTTCGGCTACCCAAGTTTACCCACTTGATTTCCCAGCTAAATTGAAAATATTCATTTACATTTCTTCTGGAGCGAAAAAATATTTATTTATTTAAATTTTATTATTTCTATGCCTGGCCTGAAATCAATGTTTTTCTAAAGAAACAGATAAGAGATATCAACAACTACGGTTGCAAAGTTCAATCAGATTTGCATTGTATAATATACTTGAAAACAAATGACTAATGGAACACATTCTAATATAGTCGTATTTTAAATGTTGGCAAAAAAAAAACATTACATTTTTCAAGCTGGTTGTTATTGTTTTTCTTTTTTCTTTTTTCATTTACATTAACTTAAAGTCGTAGTCCGGTGTTGTTGAAAATAACTCAGCAGCGCCTTCATCGTCTTCATTGTTGGTTTGGATAGGTTCGATTATGGCCGGGCGAACAACTGCCTTGATGGGGCTGTCATTTCCATTCCAGACAGGATTTACATTTTGCGGACCAATTTCGTTGACGCCAAATTGAGGAACATTCACTTGGCCACCATTTGAAAGACCATTGTCAAAGTTAGGATTGTAATTGTTGTTTCGATCATTCCTGTTCCTTTCTTGTTGGCCAGCGGCCCATTGTGTTGGGGTATTCTGAAAATTCGGTTGAGCTCCGTTTGTAAAACCATTGTCAAAACTAGGAACGTAATTATTGGAGCCATCTTGGTTGTTGCCCCTTACCCTCTGACCCTGGTTATTTCCTTCAAACCAGATTAAGCCTGGATCGTTGCGTTGAGGTGGATTCTGCATAGGCGGTTGACCTCCATTTGAAAAATCATTGTTAATACTAGGTCCGTTATAATTGGAGCCACCTTGGTTGTTGCCCATTCCTCTCTGACCTTGGTTGTTTCCTTCATTCCTGTCAAAGTTTGGTTCTTGTTGGCCTGTGGCCCATATTGCTGGGATATTATTGTTATTCGGAATGGAAAGTTCGGGCTGGGGAGGTGGGTAAAAAACCGGCTCCTGTTCGCCAACGTTCGAAACTCGGTTGGTCTCCTGGATAATCCAATTGCGAAATTTGGCCACGTTGGTATAAACGCCCGGAACGCCCTGAATTCCGCAATCTACGCCAAAGTTGACAATGCCGGCCAGCTCATAGCGCTGGGGATCGCTTAGCAGGGGACAGGCCAGCGGAGAACCACCGTCGCCCTTGCAAGAATCCTTGCCAGGCTCTCCGCCTGCACACATCAGGCTGTTGTCGAGCTCCCACTCGTTTCCGTAGTATCGACGAAGTGCGTATTGACACCTATCGCTGGGGACCACTGGTAACTCCACCTTCTTCATGATGTTCATGTGTGCATAGTCCTGGAAGGACTGCTTACCCCAGCCACTGAAGATGCAGCGGGTGTAGTCGAAGTTCCTATCCGACTTCGGCAGGCAGATTGGGTTGATATTACTGGCAAGCTTCAAAGGTGCCTGAAGGAACAGAAGGGCCACATTATTGGCCCCGGTGTTTTTGATGAAGCCAGGATGACGAATAATCAACCTGACGCCAGCGTCAACATGCGGCAGTTGTTCAGTGTCCGTTTTAAAGTCCCACTCGCCAGCCCGCACAATAAGCTGGTTTGCGTTTAGGTTGTCGGTCACATGTCTGGCTGTTACAACCACATCTGGCGAGATCAGGACACCGCCAGCCAGGTACTCGCGATTTACGTTCAGAAGAGCCACCATCCAAGGCAACTCGGCTTCCTGGGCCATGCCTTCTAGATCGGACATGACGAAGGTCACTCCTCTGCTGTTGACCCATCCGCAGTTGGGGTTGACCGGCTCATCAACGACAACGAGTTGTTTGTCAGTCTAAAATGGCCACCAATAAATATAACTCTCTTTCACATAACCGCATACCAAGGCACTTACACGCAAATTATCATTTTTACAGCAGATTTCGGTGGAATGACATCCGAAGTTCCCTGCCTCTAGCGCTCGATAGCCCAGTTGATACCGGCACGTATGACGCGGAACGCATTTGTGAATTGTTGAGTCACTGCATTGCTGTCCAAGGACATGGCAAGTGGCCAGCAGAAGGCACAGGATATAAAGCACTCCGCGTAGAAGACGCATTCTTGTTTTGCGGTGAAAACAATACTACGGTCTCTCGCAAGAATAAGTACCTTTTAAAGCTCAGCTTCGCTTGCTGATAACCCGCATAGCTCCGTCCGGCTTCGTGTTAACTGATAAGCCGACCAGAGATTACGCATCGAAACGGAAACAAAAAACCCCAACCACTTGGTGATTCAATTGTTAAATGCTTTGTATTTAGATACAGATACAGATTGCCCCGAAATATGATCTTAAGTCAGCGTCCAAATGCATTGGCTAACTTTTGTTGCTGTTCATGTTTGACTATATAGCTATATGACAGCTCCCAAAAAAAAAATCGGAAATGAAAATGAAAAAAAATTATGACTTCGCTGTATTTATTTTTTGGTAAATTAACTACAAGGTATAGTTATTGTTTAATCCTTTAGAGTTACTGTTTTATTAAAAAACATACAGCATTTGAAAGATCGCAAAAATCAGCGGAAAATCGATAAAGCTTCATTGTTTTTAAACATATACCCATACAAATTTAAAAATATTTTCGATAATAACAGTGTTGGGCATTCAACTTTCTTTCCTTATCTCATGCTGTTAAGCTTTGCACTTACGTTTCCGAGAATTCTAAAAGCGATAAGGTTATAGTTTAAATAATAGGAGTTTTGCCAAAGCCAAATTCTCAAGCTCTAGTTTGTTGTTTACTTTGTGTTTTATAAATCAAAGAAAAAGATGAGAAAAGTACAGTCTAAATGTTATGTTATTGAACAAAAAAATCTAAATATTATTGATCAGAGAAGTAAAAAACCCATAGTCTCAAGCCCAATGATCTTGGCTATAAAGTGAAGAAGGTATTTTCGATCCGTCCGAAGATAAAGATTCTAAAACCAAAAAATAAAAATAGAAAAGTGTCGTTAATGAGGCCTTTAAATGGGAGCTTTCGTTTAAATGGCCTACTGTATTTCAAGCGAATCATTTTGATTGATTGGTTTGGAAAAGTGTCTCCTTAGCCAGCCTCCCCAGTTCTCCACATAAATAATATTCCCTGTGATTCCATCACACCGTCTAGCTTGTTGTTTCTGTCATTGACTCATTCGTCTTCGATGTCAGGCCATTCATCTGCTGGAAAGTTTTCCCCTGGGCAAATTTCCTTAATGGTGAATTGTTTTATATGCCCTACTACATTAACTTCTCCCATCCATTTAATTTAATTATGAAATTATTTACAACTTACTTCGAGATTTGCGGCAATACAAACACAGTGAAGCCAATAAGCCACTGCTTATCATTTAAATATAATAATCAACACAGTGGGCGGGTCCCACTTTCACCCTGGCCATGACGTCCAGTGCGTGGGTATACATAAATAATTTTTCATTATTTCCGCAAAATATCGATTAAATTCGTTTTGTGCCCGCCGTTTTTGTTTTGGTTTGTTTGGTCCTTACAAACGTTTTCTTGTGCACAGCACGCACTCATAAACCAATTGTACCCATATTCCCTGACTCCAGTAAGCCGAAGGTCCTTGGTCCTGGCCAAAACGCATACAAAGCACCATTAATTAAAAACCAACCCACACGACAGTCGTGGCAACATCAAAAACAGTCAGCAACAAAATCATCGATAAGCGAGACACAAAGAAAAGTGGGGACTTCTGGGATGAAACAAAATCTTTATATTTAATCCAGAATTTAAAACATACCTAACCGTTAACGTCCAATTTATGTTATTATAAAAGTTTGTTCCTAAATAAATAAATAAACGAATTAATTAATTTATTTATAAATCAAACACGCGAATCGGCCACTGCTTATCTCTAAAACCAAAATTTTGCAACAAGCAAAAACCTCAATACCTCAATACCAATACTAAAAGCAAAATACAAAATTGTCTTTAAATAGTCTATTCCAAAATAATTTTGATATATAAATTTAATTCTAACAGCTTTTACAAAGTCTTACTTTATTTTCCTGTGTATTAAGTTATCAGTACCAAAAATAAAACATATAATAAATTTTATTTTGTATAATCAATTGGGGCAATTGAATGTAAAGTCCCAGTTTTCTTGCAAAATGTGTCCAATGACGCCAGAAATTTTACATATGCCTTGACTATATCCCACAAACATATTTGTGGGGATGAAATCTTGATTAACAGTACTGGGGCAATGCCCACTTCATAATTGTCATATATTGATACCGGTTTTATGGTACTCTTGGCCTAAAGTCGACTGACAAGCTTAGCTTGCCAGAGGCGTCGCCGAGTGGGAAAGACTGAAAAGCTTTGCCGGCATATTATTGGCATTAGAACAAAAAGTAAATATTGCTGTGAACCTGGAATATCGCTTTAAATGATAATGAGATGCACATGTCAATTCGCATCGGAAATTCCTCTAGTGAACAACGAGTTTTGAGCTGGGAGAGCTTTGCGATTCCATCAATTGTTGACCCGTTTCTACCCTGGTAATTGATACCTGCGTAGTGTTGCACTGCATTCGGTTGTGGGAATCTCCCGGTTCGATTATTTGAGCATATAATCTCGTTGCAAAGCTGAATTAAAACGGCAGTATATCTCCGCTGATTGCAACGAACACATCGATTGGAAATGGAATCGCATACCTTTGTCTTGCTGCTGCTCATTGGCTGCCTGATTGTTGGCTGTTGTGTGGCGGCACCTCAGGGCTGCAACGGCGGCTTCTATGCCAAAAACGGTAATTTGGTGCTCGATCTGAAGGACATACAGGGCCTTCTTAACTGTGTTAACAGGCAGCATCAACAGCGCGGATAATCGTATATTTAGTTCTATAACAATACACTGTGCAATGCAAAAAAAAAAAAACACGAAAAATGTCCAATAAAAACCTCTAAGCCGACAAACTATTGATGGTAATTGAAATTGGTGAGCCTGTTTGCCAATACACAACTGCTTATGCAGGTGAAGTGGTCATCGCACGCGGGTATTGTATAAACAACATTGCGTATGTGAGATTTTATTAGCGCGCACATGTTGGGATAGAAAATAAATAAAAGCAGAAATAATAACCCGTTTTTTTGTTTACCAGAATATACATTCCCCTCTGTTCATTGCCTCTGCCAATTTAATCTTGGAAATGAATATTAGCATCAAAGATCGATTAAAATTAAATTGCATTCACGTAATTTTTAAAAAAGTCGTTGTGAAGTTCGCAATAATAAGTCACACCGAAAATAATTTGTAATTGTTTCTTTAACCTTCTTTTTTCTCAAACTTTAAAATCAAATACGTAAGCGCCTAGTTAAAAAATAAAATAAAATCAAAGATTTCATTAGATTAAGCTCTATGATATCAAGATAACTAAATAAAGGCCATATTCACTGAAACAATATACGAAAAAAAACTGTTCACAGGTTTTTTCATAACTGATTTTAAATTATTTATAAAAGTCTAAAGGTGGTTTTATAAAATGACTTGTTTTCTTAAATTTTTAATAAATGCTTAAATCGGAACAAGAAAATGAATATTGACTTGTCAAATGCCTTGATACTTGACTAAGAAGGGACTTTTTTTATTTAAAATAACTTTCTTAGACTCGTAAACTAACCATAATATGTGGTACTTATATATCGGATTTTGGTCGGGAACTGCGAACTAAGTGCTATAGTATTTGGCGTCCCGCTGGCCCCATTCGCCTGCCGACGACAATTTGCGCTCATGTCGAACATGAAAAATAATGAAAAGCAACTCGAGCGCGACCAGACGAGCACCTGCCAGTCCCCGCCCCTTTCACCTTTCACCCTTCAGCCTTCAGCCTTCAGCTTTTCCCCCCGTAAACGTCACACTCAGCCCCACGTACATATATGTGCACTCTCTTTTATGTACCATTGGCCTCGCATCACTCGGTTGGGCACCTGCAGGTTGCCCTTTGTTTGGTGCGGCATTAAAATGCTAATTGCCTGTAAACATAAAGGCAACTGCAGATGCCACAAATACACACACACACACAGGCATCACATACGCACCTCATTTTCCACTTTGTTCGGAGGCGTATGCGTAATAATTTGTACACCACCACACTTCGATGGCAAATGTAGCAAACAACGTGTGGCAATCGCCGCTGCTAATTCGATTTCTATCAACGCCTGTCAATGCCGTTTTAACTGAGCTGTTGCCAATGCAACCTGAAACCTTTAAGGACTCTTCCGTCTCGTCCTGCACTCTCACTAATCGTGTCCTGTTGCTGACAGCAGTTATTTGCATTCGTTTGCAAGTTAAAATTGACTTTAAAATTGCATTTAATGGCGGAAAAATGGCACAGTCACGGCCCCTGCACTCGTCGTCATTTATTTCCCACTAGTGTTGACATTTTGTCCTTTTTTATCGATTTAATTTTATTAGGGACTCATTGATTTATATTTTAAGATTTTAGAAATTCGTGTGTATTTTATTATTTATTTATTTAAAAAAAAAATTTAAACTATATGAAATAATTAGTTTTAAACTAAAATGACAATGATAGTTATAGCCATCTTTACTGATTTATTTCTCTGAGTTTCAAGTAAGCCATTAATAAACTCATTAATACACATACAAATTGGCTATAAAAATATATATTTTGTAGTGTCGTTACGGTTCAAATTCAATTTAATTTTAGAAACTGAAAATTGACGTCTTTAATTTACAATTTTAAAATATTTTTTTAAATTAAATATGTCAATTGCAATGTAAAAATGTAGAATATTGTTCCTTTTAATTGCTTTTTCTGACAGATTTGTATTTTTTTTGATAAACATAGCTAGGCAGCACTGTTTTACACAGTGTCTCTGCTCGGTTCGTTTTCCTTTTGGCCCACCACCCCACATACCCACGCCCACATCCTGTGCGCTGTTGACTCCTTTGCCATAATGCCACTTGCACTTTGACGTTGACATTGCGCGAGCGAGAGGGCAGACGCAGCTAGAGCGAGAGGGGACGATGGTTGGTTGGATAGGGGACAAGAGTGTGTATGTATCGAGTATATTGGAAAGCTGTTCGGGTGTTTTAAATAGAAACATGCAGAAACGCGACAAAAAATGTCTTCACACTAAAAGCATTTGCCTTCCACTAAAAAAGACGAGAGAATGGAATCTTCAGAATGACAGCACACACATTTTTTGACACTTACTCTACGTTGTAATTGCAGTTGCGACAGATTTACGGATCTGGACATTAAATAGTTACGACCCAATAAAAATGGCTTAAAGGTTGAATTTCAATGATAAGGAAACGTTTTTTGGTTTATTGTGAAATGTATTTCTTAATTTGGTTTAATTTTTCAGTTCATGGCATGACTTATTGCCAATCTAACTATGCAGTTGCATTTAATATTGCTTGGTAAAAACCCTACAGCTTTTTACTTTTGAGCTTAGCAACAATCTTATGGATTCCAGGGAAGAAGAAAAGACCCAACCACATTGCAAAGTTACACTTTGACTGGGTAAGAAAGTGTTTATAATCCCCAAAGCAGACCGCATTAAATGCGAGTGTGAATGTGTCGTAGAAGCCCAGTCAGCCAGTCAGCCAGTCACACTTGTGGCTAAAAATACCCAACAGATTTGGCCAGGACAGACAGAGCAAAGCAGAACCGAGTCGACTTGTAGAGGAAAGGTACCAAAACAGGTGCCACCCACTTGATGTCAGCCTGTTTGCCGCTGGGCTACTCATACTGATCAGAGGCTTACCTACAAAAGAACCCCCCAAATATTTAGCTGAACTCATATTAAAACGTAATATAAATTTCTTTTTCGGCTGCACAACTTATTGCTCCAACATTTGGCACGTCCATTCAGATGGCAAATATATTGGGCGTCTGGCAAAGGGAAAAAAATCGCTGTGAAAGAATTGCTGGAAAAAGAAAAGTTAGAAATCGTAGCTTAAACACACATCTTGCATTATCCAGTGAGCAAAGTGGAAAAAGGGGGAGCTGAGGGATGGAAAATCAGTCGGCTGGCTCTGGCTTTTCACTTGGCAAATGGTCAACGCGGGTTCGTTCTTACCCAGCCGTTGCTTTTCTTTTTGCCCAGCACACTTTCAGGCTGTTGCTCCAGCCAACGCCCAGAGTCCTTATCCTTCTTGCGAACAAATTGCGTGCAAGTAGCTGTATTTTGCTAATTCCGGCAAAACCCAGGCACTGCAACGCTGACATTTGAGCAGTCCTCAGTCTCAGTCGCAGTTTCAGTCGCAGTCTCAGTCGCAGTTTTGGTCTTCTAGACCCCGTTCCAGTGGCATTGCCATAGCCAGCCATCGTTGGCGTTGTCATTGTTGGCTTTTGAATGTTAAGATGTCGACAGCTGCACAGACGAGCGACAGGGAAGCCAGCTGGTGTCAACTGAGAATTGTGTGTGTCTGCGAGAGGGCATTGCTCAGGGTCGGGTCTGCAAGCCCAATCCCCATCCAAGTACCCATCCATGCAACCCTTTCTGCCACGCAGACACCTCTCATTTTTTTTGTTTTTTTTTTTCATTCGCTTTTTGCACCCCCTTCCTGTGCATATCTTTTCTGTCGCGCTGCCTCGACCTTTCCATAAGTGCATAATATTGTAGCAAAAAAATGTACAACAAATATTTCATAATACACGGCCATGTTTTTTGTCTGCCGTTCGGTACCATGTTCCATCCCGAGTTCAGCTAGACAAAGCGACTACGCATGTTGGCAATTATTTACATGGCTATGACTTTGTTGGTCTTTGCGAAAAAACTGGGGGTTCAGATGAATAACATCTTATAGGGTGTTGTCATTCTTGGTGCAACAATTTCTCAGTACATTCATTTGAGGGGAATGTTAAGCTAAAAGAAAATCAACCCCCAAAAATAATCATGAAAAAAGTTCATGCAATATTTCAAACTTAAAAACATAATAGTTTAAGTTAGGTAAAATTAAGTCTAAGCGTATGTAACAATATATTTTTTATTACCCTCATAAAGTTTAAGTCCCATTTTTCACAAATATAAATATTTAAACTGCTATGTAACTTAAATTGTAAGTCATTCCTTGCACATATTTAAATAAAATATATTGTCTAATGAAATTTGAAAGGCTAATGAGAAAAGCGGTTATGTCCACTTCCAACCCTCAGCTCCAAAGGAGCCGACCAAATTGAATAACTACTTGGAAGCAACTTTATCCATTTTTACCTGCCTTTGGGCCATGGAACAGAAGTTTCGTCTGCTGCCAACCAAAGACTCGAAATCCGATAGAAACTTCCTTGCCATTTTCTCTTAGTCGCTCTAGTCGCTCACTTACCCCCAGTGTGATCCTTTCTATTGACTCACTTTCGGCAGTGTTTATTATTTAATGCCTTAACTAGCTCCCTACTCAACACCTTTTTTGGGCAAACTTTAAGATTCCTTAACTAATTCGAGCTCTCGGAAAATGTGCAAATAACTTTGCCAGTTTGCAGATGGAGAGGGGATCATGGCCCACCTGAGGAGAAGTTTTCAATGCAACAACTTTCTTTCCCACTCCCCAACTGGCATTCCAGCCCTTAAAAACTCCACCCCTGCCATTTGTCTAAGCCGCTGACACATTCCCGTGGCACCAACGGCAGCCAATTTACATTGAAATCTTCTTCAGACTCGGACTGGGCGTATATATGCCCCAGAGAACCAAGCCGAAGCTCAAGCATTTTTATTCTACTCTCCTGCTCGGCGTTCCCATTGTGCAAAAGTAGTTGAACTATTTCAATGCACCCACATGCAGCTTAGCTCGGCAGCCACTGCAGCATCTTCAGGTGCACTAAAGTTCACCCACCAAACACAATCCGTTCTTTTTCTTTCCCCGCGGGGAAGGGGGGGCGGTGGTTCGGGTGTGGGCGTGGCACGTCTCTCAGTGTCTATGACTGCAGGTGTTTGTCCTCCTTCGAAAGGGAGGGGAGCAGCCCCCCTTTTGGGTCTAATTTCGCTGCAGCTAAAGTTCTTGTTTGCGTCTTATGAAAATGCATACTGTGGGCACCGAGCTAAACTTGTGAAGATAATTTGTGCGCCAACTTGGAAATACCTCCACGGCAACCCAGTGATTTGTTAAATTC